TGGAATTTCATTTGCGAAACATCCGGTATGAGAAGGCGTTTTTTGAGCCTAGAACTCGTATGTGCGAATAGAATAATGAAAAATCGATGTTCTCGGTGTTTTGAATAACAGTTACTGTTACACAGTACATGTTATAATTAACTACTGCGCAGTTACTATTGTGTATATAAATTTATGTAATATTATTTCTGCAGAAATTTCAGACTAAACTTGCAGCCAAACCAAACACGATACCGAACAAAGATTCGATGATGATTTATACATGGATTATCCGCGAACTAAATCGAGTGATGAGTCACGGAATGGTTACGCAAATTTCCCAAGTCGTCACATTTACGACATTTTCGTTCTCATTTTACGCGGAGTTAACGAGAATCGCGCTAAAACCGACCTGTTTACGCGGCCGGTCGGTCGAAGTTTAATGAAGATCTGGGTCAAGCGGTGTTTGGAATCCTTGAATCGCACGCTACGCGATAGGAAAAAAAAAAGTTTACCTATAGCGAATTGGAATCTCGTTGCAGAAGTCGTTGCCGGGGATAGCCTCGATGTATATGCATGTATACCCCTGGCACTGAGGTCGGCGCCATTTCTCGACGACTTAAAGAAGGCAGGCAAGGATTCTCGTGTACTTGCCACTCGCCACCGCCGCTGTAGGTCACAGTCAAGTTGTGCTTTTCTTTGCGTTCCAAGCATTATGTAATTTCGCGGCAGTAAGTTACGCTCCGAGTCGGAAATTCCTAGCGGCGAACGGTGGCGTTTGTACAGTGAGAGCGCGATCGAGGGATGAAAGGGATCGCGCAAAGCAAGCGGCGTAAATTTAAATAATACGATTTGAATAAAGAGGTGTTCGATACAACACAGCCAGAAGGGATTGGCGCTTTCGCGGGGGATCGCATACGCTTGAGCAAATGTTTCCAAGTTGGTGCATATCGAGAGCAATATCTCTCACTCAAAAAAATGATCTTGCAATAATAGCTAAAATTTTCTAGGTGTAAAAAATTAACTAAAATAGATAAATGATTAGCAACTGTTGTAATATTGCATATGTAATTACTTAATCAGTTTAGATGACAGAAACAGAATATATATCTGTATTGTTTGTGAACTTTAAAAGAAAGTTTCTCTAAAGCGCCTATCTATATAAGATCAATCACGTGTTAGATCATGCAATGAATAACATTTAGCAATGGTACTTAAATTTTTCAGAAGCTATTGCTAGAACATTACTGCTATAAATTCTATATGTGACAAACAATGTTTTCACAGATACGAAAAATAGCGATACATTCTTGTTGCGATATCTAGAAATCTAACTACATCAGCGAAATATTTTTTTGAGTGCTATTTTGATTAATCCTAGCTAATATTTTTTCAATACTGCTGATCGTCAACTTTGGCGAAAAGCAGTTTTATCCTTTTCTCCGTTCCATTTTATGTCACGTCACGATTTTCTGATTCCTCGTAACTTGGAAAAAATCGTGCATGTAAAGACATCATTACACAACCGTAGAGTTTCTAGCACGAAGCATGAGATTTTATCACCCATCTGCTCTACATCGCGACGAACATAATTCGGACCGGAGGATTACCCATTACGACATTTAGGCTAAATATTCTACGAGAATTTCACACGAGAATTGCAGCAGTGCAATTCTATTTGCACATTCTTTAGCCACAGAAGTATCGAAAATATATTTTTTCCCCAACTTTTGTAATTCAATTTAGATATATGAATACATGCATTTGGGTGAATATACGAAAAAGTTATTTTATAAATTAGAATTATCTAAATAGAATGATAATCATGTTTCCGAAAAGCTTGCATCTTGCTCAACAATATCCAAATGCTCACGATATATTCAAGTTGGAAATCCAGATTTCCGATCACGAGTCTTGACTGAAGGCGCAAAGGGCAATCGAGCCGTCGAGCGTGGCACTCGATAATAATCTCGACTCGCGATGAACGTCTTGCGTGGCGTGTGCAAGCAGCATAATATGCAGTTGCGTTCTGCACTAGATCTTGAACACTTTCAATGACAAGGCGTAGACGACAACGAGGCAGCGGCGGCGACGGCGGCGGCGGCGATGGTGGAAGGGAGAGGGACACGAATTACCCGACCGCAGTCCTCCTACAGCTTTACAGTAGTACGATAAAGCAAAGTAGGCCAGGCAAAAATTCGCCGATACCTCGCAAAAGTAGGCGGAAAAATAAACGCACGAGCGCGATAGCAAAGTTTAATGCCAGCGGCGCTTTCTAGTCTGAACAGCGAGAGCTAGCTTACGCAACTTAACTGCGTATTGTAAGGAGAAACGTTATTTCTCGTTTCATGTTTTAGTGCGTCAATGATATCGAGGGCCGGGATAATTTTTAACTACTTGCGTACGATTGAGAACGTGAGTGCTTGCGTAATATTTCAAAAGCGTAGCTCGATCGTAGCAATATCAATACAATAAGAGAAACAAATAACAAAAGTGATAGATGCCCGACTTTTTTTATCCAAGTATCTAATAATTCATCATACTATTATTTTCGTATTTTCGAGTTTCGCAGCATCGAAACTCATCAAAATTACATCGAATTCAATTTCTACCGGGAACATAATCTATATGGCTGTTATCGCGTTAGATTCCACCGTCGACCGTCAACTATGTCGGTGTTACTGCATTGCTGCATCGAGCGCAACGATGCGACAGCATTGAAACTGTCCATGCGTCGTCGTGTAAGCCGCGCAAAGTCGACGACGAGTTCCGACCGAAGCGGTAGCTAGGCTCGCGTTCGGGTCGATGTATTCTCGGTTGTTTATTTAGGCCACGGGAGGTGAATCGTTCGCTCTCTTAACGCTGGCAAGCGGAACGTCGTGCGCGAGCGCACGGTGCACGCTTGCTGCAAAAAAGTGCATGCACGCGGCAGCGTGAACGAGAAAGAATTGCTGCGGACGCGTATCGTTGATTGTTCGCGTATCGTAGAGAGATCAAAGACATTCGTATAAAAACTTGTTTACATAATTAACTTTATAGATTACTTTTTCTATATTATATATTTTATACATTATTTATATATTTATAGACATTGTAATTTGTTGTTTTACGTTGTATCGTGGAAAGGCTGTCCCATCTCTACAAAATTATTATTTTTATTCATAAATTAATTTGGAACCGGATTTTTTCCATAACCAAATCAATAATTAATAGGTTGCAAGTAATAACAAGTTGAAGAGTTTTTAGAAATTAAACATTCTTTCTTTAATTTGAAGCGGATTTTACTTTCACGGATATGTAATTCGAGGATTACCTCTCGATTCAGATAATGTCAAATGTTTGTGCAACTTGTGACGTGCATAATATTCTATTAAATAAAATCTAATATCATTCGCTTGAAAAAACGATTGCAAAGAATCGATAGACGAAAATTGACTCATCAACTGTGGAGTATTTCGTTCAGTATCCTAATTGTGCATCAGGATTCGATAAATCCTATTCTTTTCTACACTATTTTTACCGTAACTCCAAACATAAACACTTGTACAATACAAGCTGTAGATCTTCTATAAATCCATTCACTTGTTTTCAATCGTCAATGACTGTCGGATATGAGTTACGCGAAACTTGCATACGCAAAACATAAATCGGTTTACTGTCACTTTATCTTAAAAGTCGATTCTAGGACATAGTTGTCTACGTATTACATGAAATGTATGAGGTAAAACGAGATCAAGACATCATACAAAATGTACGTCTCATGTTTACTCCATTCCTCGGCGATATATAAATAAAATATAAGAAATACGTATACACATATTTGATTGCGATATCTCTCGATGATGCAAGCCAGACAAAGTGTGGCAACACCGATAAGTAGGTTCATATATGCGTCATATGCATTTATGCATATCATGTTAATAGAATATAAATCATCTAACAGAATAATCTTAACATGAGAAATATCATATTAATATATTGTAATATAAAGATGCTTCTAGTATCCGGTATAATAATAGAAGCAATCACACATTCAATACAGTTTTCCAGTAAAAAAATCATTAAATTGTGAAACATTGACCGTATTTACGAGAAATTACGTTAAAACATTTCTGCATCGATATGCATAATCATAAATTATTATAAATAACCATCACGCTTAATTAAGAAGCAACATGAAATATAAATATTTCATAGTTATACAAACTAATTACTTGTTTTTTTTTTTTATAAAGATTTTAATACGTCATTAATTTTTTAACTCTAGACGTTATTAATAAAAAACGGTTAGATTAAAAAATTTTTTAAAGTAATATTTTTGTAATATTGTAATATTTTTTTATATTCATGGTTTTCGAGAACTTCTATATTGTTCGAAATAGATAATCTCCCGCGATATTGGAAATTCGGTCGCGATGAATCAAGAAACGTGCACTATCGATACCTAGCTCCTGACCTTGTCCGAGATGAATTTTTATAGATATACAATAACGGCACGGTAAAAGGCATCCGCCATGAACGATGCAAGTACAATGAAACACACTATGCATAACTATCGAACATGATATCGCAATTTTCTTCTATTTAAAAAAGAATGTATATTTTCGCAATGTTAGTGTAACGCAATTTCACTGTGTTCCTGCAATTATTTGCATCGAAATGCAAACAAAAATTATAATATAAAATAATACAAAACTAAGTTCATTTTTTAATAAGTAAGATATATTGTACATATAATATGTGAGGTTTTTAATGTATATTCACACTTCGGTAGAAAACAATATTATATTTTGTCATTTTCAGGATACAAAGAAATAATGTTTTTATTATATTATTATACATTCCAATCACAACCATATTAAACAAATTTGTTTTATTCACAAAATATTTAATTTTAATGTTCTGTAAGATGCTCTGAACTTATAAACATGTCGGAGTTGTTAACGTTTTATATGTGCTAAATATTAAGTGCGTGCTTTCACTTTTTCTCCATATGTGCTAACTGAAATTTGTATGATTTCTTTAGCAAGATTCTGATCTGATCAACAACGTCCAACTACATATTTGAATCTTGTAGGACAATTAATCGATTTTTTATACACATTTTTTACCGGCATATCCTCAGAAAGGTAATCAGTGTTATAAATCTCATGTCCATCATAAATGTTGGCACTTGCGATTCCTATAAATAACAGAATCGCAGTCAATAATAGCCAACAGTTTGTGAGTTTCATCTGAAAAGTATTAACACTAAAAAGTTACCATATCTACAGGGTGTCCGGCAATTGCTGAATCACCTCTCGGAAGCGGGTTAAACCGAGTAGAAAAGTCCTCTATCGTTTTGCGATTTTCGCAATAATTAATGAGAAATTAATTAAAGGTCGGCCAATTTGCGCGGCGAGAAGAGACAGCCCATTGTTACGTGGTCGCTAGGACGCAAGGATCTAGCTTTACGCACCGCTCCTATGTTGCCGTTGTCATTTGTTGAGCGCTCCTTCCAACGTTTCGTCGCGCGTCTAGTTACCAAATAACTAGTGCGCTGTACCGCCACGGGTCTCTTCTCGCCGCGCTCTTAAACTCACGCGAATTGGCCGATATTTTTTAATCAATTCCTCATTAATTATTGCGAAAATCGCAAAATGGTAGAGGACTTTTCTACTCGGTTTAACTCGCTCTACCTACACCCGAGAGAGGATTCAGCAATTACCGGACACCCTGAAATATTTCTAACAAAATCTGATAAAATTTATAAAAACTATATAAATATTTCACGAAATAATACAACAAAATAACTATTTTATATGAACATTTATATAGCAGGATAATTTTTTTTCGTGCGAGAAAAAGACAATGTTGAACAAAAGCAAATTAATGTTCAAATAAGATAGTAGATTAAAATAAGAAAGAATAAAATTGGAAAAATTTTTGCAAGAACTTTGGAAAGCTCATGATTCGACATTGACAAGTTTGCATTTAAATATATCATTAAAAATATACTTTAAGAAATAATGTGAATATAAAACTTACTGTGCTACTGAGTTAAATAATGAACGTCGCTTCGCACAATTTTCCACAAACTAATGGAAAACGGACGAGTGTCAAATTATATACTAAAGCCACGTGTCATCAATAAAAAAAATAGTAGTATGTTTATGGCAAATGCGATAACAAAATTCATGAATCAGCTAATATAAGTTATTTCACGGAAAAATATCTACGATATGTTCGTACGACACGTTACGTAAAATGTAGATATAATTACAGAAATTGACTAATATAAGTTTACTGCATTCGCGCATTTCACCGCAAATATTGCGCATATTTCAATTGCATTAACCTCATGATTTTATTAAACTGTTTATATTCAAACATTAACAGATATTGAAAAAAATATCTTATTTTATGGCCACATGGACGATATTCAATTATGTAAACTGATAAAGTCACATGTTGTTGAGGAAAATGCCGTGTTGTATATCGCAATAACAATAAACTTCATACGTCAACTAAGTTTACGCAATATGGTAAGCAATGCAATAAGCTATTTATTAAAACAACTATGCTGGAGTGCGCTAAACAAAAGTTTTTCAAACCCTACATTCGTTATTAAAGGTATAGATTTACATTTTGCAACCGCAACCGTGTGCAAAATAAAAAAAACAACAATTTGTGGTGGTTGGCAACAATTTTCAGAAATAAGCTACATCCGATAGATGAAGTGTCGTTGAAATAATCCGATCGAAAAACTGAACTTATCGAATTTGATAACTTTGTAAAAAAAATAAAAACTACAATTACATTCCAATAGTATCGATTGCACAATTAATATTTTGAAGCAATTCACTAATACAGTTAGCAATATATGAAAATCTCCCAATATATAAAATTCTATAATCTAAAATAATAGAAACAAGTATTCAAAATTTATTTTTTTTTTGTATTTAAAATAAAATTCGACTATCATTGAGCGCAAATGAATTCTCTTAATCACCGACGAATGTCCGTTTGAAATTTTAAATTCCAAGTTAGAACAGTAATTTGCCATGAAAGCGACAATAGTTTTAAGTCATAAGTCAAGAGCCAGTCGTCGATTGAGGGTCGCCGCAATTACGACTAATTAATTAGTGAGTCTCGCGGTCATCGGCGTACGACAGATGCAAATGAGAGTGGGTGTCACGCCAGGAAAAGACCGTGGCGACGCGTCGAGAGCGCGGCCGCGCTCGTTGTATTATTATTACCGGCGTGTTCGAATTGGCATTAACATTCACTGATGCATTCCCCCGTGCACTCTCGCTCGCGTACAGCGCGAGCTGTGCGCGCCATTTTCGTAACGTGACTTTGTATCATGAACTTTTCGATGACGTTTGCGCAATCCTATCAGTCAGCCAATACAAGCCTGGACTGGCTGTGTGTACGAGAGTACGAGTACGCGGTGGATGTGGAGCGTTCTCGACGCAAGTGAGATAAGAACGTCTCTTAATGGCTGGTAATGAATGTTAGGAATCTACGCGATTGTCATCATTTGTGATTTACACGTGCAGTATTAAAAATTCTATAAGGAAACTAAATAAATAAACATTACAAAACGGGATTTTTTTCTCGGATGACGCATTCCGCTAGTGCAAACATTGTTGTATAAATAGTATTTCATCACAGCGTGCTGAGATAAAATATAGATTTAACCGTTAGTATTTTGTGCAATTTAAATCTGCCAAACGATCGTAATTATATAAATTAAGAGACAGTTTCGAAGTGCGGCTTTTCTCGACAAACGATTGTCTCGCTCGATGGCTCGAATTCCCATCATACTAGCCAGTTTGTTGTTGCATTGCAAAACGATAGCTTCGTTTGACGGCAGCTGGCACGCTATCGATTACGTAACTGGTGAAACTATCGGCTACCTGTCGATCGTAGATGCGCGCCGAAGCTTCGGTCGATCACCCGCCTCGCTTCGGTCCGAAACTGCAATCAGTGGTACCGTCGAAACCTGTAAATCGCCCCGCTTGGAGTAAGGCGGAACGGCAGCTTCGGCAGGTAGAAGATTAATCACAGTGCATTAAATTCGAGTTAACACGGTGATGCACGCGAGTAGTCGTTTTTTTATATTTTGCGTTGCAAAACAGACTGCAATCTCTTAATGCTGAGCGGTTACAGAAACTCCATTGAAATTGAGCACACTGTGAGCAAAATAATTAATAAATTAGATTAGCTATTTGTGGCCATACAGAGTATCTATCCAAAATATTCGAGCGTAACTACAAGATAATTGATCATTCTTTGACTAATCTGATCTCTTCTTAGCTAAAGTGTTAAAATGTCAATAATTCGAAGATGAGAAATTTTTTGCAAAACAAGTTTTCAGACTTCGAATGAGTTGCGTGACAGATTTGCGGATCGAAGCCGATCTTCTACTTGTCCGCGAGTTATCCGCAACTTTTCGATCAATTCGAAAGTTGCAAGAGCATAATTCTGGAATTTTATTAATCGGTGAGAAATGTTTCGATCGGACACTTTTCGCTGAGCGATCGCAGCTCCGCTGGATCCTTACGCCGATAACCGTCGCGACGGTGGGTGACAGTAGTAGCAAGCGACCCAGCAGCGACCAGCCCATTAGAGTTATGCAACTAGTGAAACTATCCTGGCGGCGACGCACTACCACTGCCGCCGGCGCGGCCAGGTCGCCGCGCACTCGCGTTCGCTCTCGAGACCCCCGCGTAAGTTTATTGCCAAAGTTTTCGGACACAACGACCGCGGGTAACCCTGGACAGGCGCAGGGAACGGGCCAATGCGCACTCGCGTTACCGAGCCCGCTGAGAGCGTGTGTGTGTGTGTGTGTGTGTGTGTGTGTGTAGGTAAGCTAAGGTATATATGCGCGAAACGACGTAATCTCATCGGCCGATTGCCGACCCTTCCCTCCTTCCTCCCGCCCCGTCTTCTACTACCTTCCAGATATTTTCATTCTCCGCCGTAATCGTGGCTTGTTTCTCTTGCGAAGCGTTCGATAATCACCGATTTCGTTCATTTTGTCGCGAGTTATTGCAGGGAAAAATGGTAACTTCTTTTTTTTTAATATAATAATTAATCTTCGTGTAGAAATATTAGATCGATTAAAAATAGTACAGTAATTTAAAAGAAATTTTTTTTCTATGACCACTAAATTGATTAAAAGGTGGAATTAAATTCCCGATCAATGTGATATATTTATCGTCCTATTATATTTGACGTGTGAAAAATTCTGACGCGGACTTTTCTCAAGGTTTATATTCGGCGATAATTGCGAAATTTCTAAGATCGCGTGGTTGAACGTGGCCTCAGATACCTAGATACAGAAATAGGCACTTTTACCGACACCCACGATAGACCGTGGTACCTGTTTCACCGTGTCTTTTCCGCCCTTCCCTTTGCGAAACCACCACCTAGCCTTCCGAGCTGGCACCGTGAAAGTAGGTGGGAAGGTGGTGTGTCAGGAGGAGGTGGAAAAGGAGGAGGGAGAGTGGACTATGACTAGAGCGTTAAATAATCACTGTAATTGGGTTATCCACGAGGAAATGACCTATGCGAGAGGTGTAACCTCGCGGATCGAGACCTTCTGCCTCGTTTTCGTGTTCTTCCATCACGAACGCCCCACCTTTTACCTAGCGAATCTGTCCGTTCCCCTCCCTTCCCCCCTACATCTTCCCTTTATCGCTCTCTCTCTCTCTCTCTCTCTCTCGCATCCTCTCGGCTATGTAACTCTGCCAGATCGGTCGATCTGCTGTAATGACGTAGAGAGGAATTTATTTGTACCGGACAGTGAAGCTCAACCATTATCGAGCTCTCTCCACCTTGACTTTTTCTCGAGATTTCAATATTTTAATAAATTATAAATTCATTTACTTTTAAAGTTTATAGCTTTCATATATTTGTAAAGATTGTAGAAAATATTTTCCAATTTGTTGTTCCGGCAGAAATAATCAAAACTTGATTTTTTTCTAAAAGTATGTAATGTTAAGGAAAGAAATGTGTGATCAGTTGTGTTAATCACATTCACAACAATGACATGAGAACATTTTCTGATATCTATGTGTGCTAGTGAAACTTTTTGCGTGATCCAGACAGTTTCGCGCAGACTCGTATGAATTTGATAATTTTTTAATGATGCTTTTTTTGAAGATAGCTTTTCACACCGCGCGACTCAATTCGATATTCTTGAGCGAGCAGCGCGACCGACTGCGCTAACGCCACGAATGACGAAACCAAGTCGATGAAATCAAATCTGAAATCTAAATTGTAATTAGATTTTACAGATGCTGTAAAGTATTTTGGAACATGATATTTCGGAGACTATGAACATTATTAATATTAATAAAACATTTCTTACTTTTCGCACGCATTTCTGATCACTTTTCTAAATATGTTTCTTAATACGTGCATTATATGCACATATTCTTGATTCTTCCCTCCATTATATATCCGAAAAAATTCAATCAAATTCTTTTCAATTGATTAAAAAATAAGACCAGAGATTATCTCAGTTGATCATCGCGATATAAAAATCCAATTATTCTTTTGTACAAATAAAGTAGGGTAAATGCAATGCTTTGTAAAGAAAATATAGCGAATCCACATTTCCTTCAGTCGATCGTTCAACCGTTCTCGTTACGCAATACCTACATCAGGCGTACATATGTTACGTAAAACAATATTAGGAAAATGGCATAATAATTTCACTAATTACTATAAATTCAATTAATTACAATAATCAGGGATAACAGGATTGCGGAATAACACGCGTTTCCTTTCACGTCTAGTTCAACTAGTCCGTTAAAATTACAAAGTACTATTTCTCCCGTTGTTCATTTAGCCCTTTAGCTGCGCTATTATAATTCGCCGTGTTAAATAACCGTTTAATTGCTTTATGCAACGGGAAGTGAAATGACCTAGTCGTTTCAGCCCGTGGGCGCTGTTTCACGTGTCCCACTCGGACGGGCGCACTCGCGCGCTATGAATAAGCGAATCGGAAGGAACGGCCGCGGCGCGACAAAAATAATAATTTCCGATAAGCTCGACTCTCGATTTCATTCAGCCACGGGGATGATAGACCGTAAACTTCATGCCTATCCCACGGCTACGCCTACTCTATT